CAATGCCAGTCCCAGCATTTGGGCCGGGCAGTGGTGGCGCACGCCTTTAATCCCAGCACTCGGGAGGCAGAGGCAGGAGGATCTCTGTGAGTTAGACGCCAGCCTGGTCTACAAGAGCTAGTTCCAGGACAGGGTCCAAAACCACAGAGAAACCCTGTATCAAAAGAAAAGAAAAGAAAAGAAAAAAAAAAAAAGAAAAAACAGCATTTGTGAGGCTGAGGAGGCAGAAGGATTGCTCTGAGTTCAAGGCCAACTTGGGCTACAGAGTGAGAAACTGTCGAAAAGAAAGAAAGAAAGAAAGAAAGAAAGAAAGAAAGAAAGAAAGAAAGAAAGAAAGAAAGAAAGAAAGAACGAACCTGGGCAGTGGTAGTGCACACCTTTAATCCCAGCACTCTGGAGGCAGAGGCAGGCGAATCTCTGTGAGTTCAAGACCAGCCTGGTCTACAGAATGAGTTCCAGGATAGTCAGTGCTACCCAGAGAAACTGTCTTGGAAAACTAAAAGAAAAAGAAAAAAAGATGAGGCATAATGTGTTTATCTGTAATCATAGCATCAGAGAAGCTGAGGCAGCAAGAGGATTGCTGGGGGCTTTGAGGCCAGCCAAGACTACAAGGCTAGATCCTGCCTGGGGCGGGGCACGATTTCTTCCCCCCACCTGTAATCCCAGCATTCAGGAGGCAGAAGTAAAATGGTCCATGATCTTCTCTGTCAGCTGGGACTGCAGAGCAAGCTCCATATCAGCCCGGGTTACACAGTAAAGTAAGACCTTGTGGAAAGAAGATGGAGAGAGGGAGGGAGGGAGGGAGGGAGGGAGGGAGGGAGGGAGGGAGGGAGGGAGGGAAAATGGGAGAGCTAGTGAGATGGCTCTTCAGGGGAAGGCGCCTGCCACCAAGCCTAGTTAATGGTTTCAGTTTCATTCCTCTGGACCCACATGGTGGAAAGAGAGAACCAACTCTCACAAGCTGTCCTGTGACCTCCATATATACTCTCATACGTATAAATTAAAATGTAAAATGAAAGAAACAAATAAAATTTGGGCTCCGATTCCTTCAGGTTCTAAGCTGCAAAGGGCTGGGTTTCTGGCGATCCACAAGCCTTGTAGTCTGGGCCCTGTATCCTTCCCCACCCCCAGTTCATCCTTGGCTCTCTCTCTCTGTCCCCCTTTTCCCTTGTGGCTCCCACAGACATGATGCAAGCAGGCTGGAGCGGAGAGAGGTAGGGGCAGGAGCGAGATGTAATTACAGCTGCTTCTGTCTCCATTCTACAGGAAGCTCAGAGCGGGGGCCCAGGGGACCCTAATCCGATGCATTTGCCAGACTCCCCCAAGACCTCCTGGGGAGGAAACCCCAGTAAGCCACTTCAGGAGTCTGAGAGTCCAGTCTCCATCAGCAAAAAATGCCTGATTCTGGAATGGGGTGGGGTCTAAGGGAGTCTGAGGAGAGTGGTTTTGAACTAAATAAGTAAAGCCTTTTCCCCCCTGGTTCTGTGTGTGTCTGCACGCGCATGCACGTGTGCACATGCGCATATGTATATGTGCATAGGTGCATGTTTGCTCAAGTGTGCATGTATGCATACGTGAGTGCAAAGGTGTACAAGCATGTCCTTGTGTGCACAGTAAATGTTTGCGTGCAGGTGCACATATACACATGTATGTGTGCATGTGGAGGCCAGAAAACAACCTCAGATAGTGTTCTTCAAAAACCATTTTTTTCCTTTGTTTTGTTTTGAGATAGGGCTTTTCTGTGTAACCCTGGCTGTCCTGGAACTAACAGAAATCTGCCTGCCTCTGCCTCCCTAGTCCTAGGATAAAGGTGTGCACCGCCACAGTCTCCCTACCCCCCTTTTTGTGACAGGGTCTCTCCTTAGAACTAGGGCTTGCCAGTTTAGCTAGACTGCATGGCCAGTGAGTCTCAGCAACCTGTCTGTCTCTGCCTGGGATTACAACTGTGTTCCGCCATTCCCAGACTTTTTTTAAAATAAAGATTTATTTATTATGTATGCATTGTTCTGCCTGCATGTATGCCTGCACACCAGAAGAGGGCACCAGATCTCATTAAAGGTGGTTGTGAGCCACCGTGTGGTTGCTGGGTATTGAACCCAGGTCCTCTGAGCCATCTCTCCAACCCCCATTCCCAGCTCTCTCTTTTTGTTGTTGTTGTTTTGGTTTTGATTTTTCGAGACAGGGTTTCCCTGTGTAACAGTCCTAGCTGTCCTAGAACTAGCTCTTGTAGATCAGGCTGACCTGGAACTCACAGGGCCTCCCAGGTGCTGGGATTAAAGGCATACGCCACCACCACCACCTGGCCTCATTTCCAACTCTTTATTGCTAGGAATTAAACTCTGGCCCATTTATTCCTGTGACAAACACTTCACTACCTGAGCCATTGTCCTAGTCCCTTAACTAGTTTCTTCTTCCTCTTGTTGTTGTTCTTCTTCTTTTGTTTTGTTTGTTTGTTTGCTTTGAGATGGGGTTTCTCTGTTTCTCCCTGTAGCTTTGGAGCCTGTCCTGGACTCGCTCTGTAGACCAGGCTGGCATCTAACTCACAGAGATCCTCCTGCCTCTGCCTCCCAAGTGCTAGGATTAAAGCCTTGTGCCCCCACTGCCCAGCCCCTCGCTAGTTTCAATGGCAACGTTTCCTTTTTCATCCCACTGTAAGTCCTTAAGCAGCCCCCAAGGGGAATGACAACTCACACTCCTCAAACAACAGCTCTGTAACTCTTCCTCCAGCCAAAGTCATCCTCCGGAGAAAGAGAGAACATCCTAAAACACAGGAAACTTCGAGGCACAGGAAGCTCAGAAACTCATTAAATTCCCAGGGCCCCTCTGCGGGGAAGAGAAGAAGTGAACAGTTGCTGGGGAAGGAGCCCCTTCGTGGAGCTGACCACACATAGGGATGGGAGCTCCAGAGACACAGCTTTCCTGAGTCATCACTATGGTGGATTTTTGGTGATGTGGCTGGCTTTGAGTCACTAACGTTCCTGTAAGTGACCTCGATAAACTAATTGACTCCCCAAGCTAGATCCAGGTGCAATCATTTCTTTTGTCTGTCACTGATAAAACAGATATTTGTTTGTGGGTGCCTCCCAAGGAGGAGCCACATAGCAAGGGCTCACCGAGGCACCGTGGGAGCTTTGTCCAGCTTGAAGCCTTATAAAGTTCCAGGGAAGGCCAGGCATGTCGACACACACCAGTAATCCTAACATTCGAAGGGTTGAGGCAAGAAGATAGTGAGTCTGAAGCTAGTTTGGACTGCATAGCAAAACCCCATGTTTAAAAAAAAAAAAGAACCTGGCAGTGGTGGTGCACGCCTTTGATCCCAACACTCGGGAGGCAGAAGCAGGTGGATCTCTGTGAGTTGGAGGCCAGCCTAGTCTGCAGTGTGAGCTCCAGGTCGGGCTCCAAAGCTACAGAGAAACCTTGTCTCGAAAAACAAAACAAACAAAAAATTACCCTCAGGGAAGCCGGAAAAAAGTACTTTGATGAGAAATATCATTTCTGTGTTGCAACCAAATCAACATATTTAACCATCATCCAGGCCAAAAATAGCCTCCAACCACAAGGGCAAGCCACATACATACTGCTCCAGAGAGTGCCTTGGGAAGTGCAGCAGGGGTCCTCTGTCCTCACAGTTAGAAAAAACAGGACCCCAAATTAGGATAACAGCAGGGGGTGCAGAGGGGAGCTCTGAGTGATTGTCTGTCCTGTCATCTAAGCACATGACTCTTATCCAGGTTCCCACATTTTATCAACCCTGCACCCCAGCCCAGGACTATTCGCAGAGCGTGTATCCAGGGGCGCTTTGGAAGAGTGGGTGGAATGAAGACAGGAGAAGGTGAGAGAGGCCTGCAGCACCAGCTGCTCAGTGAAACCCATCTCTAAACAAGAAGTTAAGAGGAGAGCCAGTGTGTGGTGGCCCACGCCTTTAATCCCAGCACTCAGGAGGCAGAAGCAGATGGATCCCTGAGTTCCAGGCCAGCCTGGTCTACAGAGCGAGTTCCAGGGCATCCAGGGCTACACAGAGAAACCCTGTCTCAAGAGAAAACAAAAACTGAGAAAAAGGAAAAAAAAAGAAAGGGTAAAATGAGGACTGGTGAAATCGCTAAACGGGAAGCGTTTGCCTAGAATCCCCCAGTGAGTCACTATGGCATGACTCAGCAGTAAATAACTTACTTGTTTGCCCTGGGTTCAAATCCTGAGTACCTAAAAGTTGGGGAGGTTGGGCAAGTTGGTGCACTCCTTTAATCCCAGCACTCAGGAGGCAGAGACAGGCAGATCTCTGTAAATTCGAGGTTTGCCTGGATTAAAAAGCAAGTTTCAGGACAGCCAGGTCTATGAAATGAGATCCTGCCCCCCAAAAAGGGGGGGCTCAGGAAAGTTTGTTCAGTGGCTTAAGAGCAAATACCGCTTTTCCAAAGGATCAGGGTTTGATTCCCAGCACCCACATAGTACAGTTCACAATTCTTCTAGCTACAGCTTCAGGGGATCTGACACCCTTTCCTCGGGCCTCTCTAGACACCCACACTCATGTGCACATACCCCCACACAGACACACATATGCATAATTAAAATATTTCTTTTTAAAGTAAGCCAGTGGTAGGCACAACAAGATGTGAAACCTGGACGGATTTTTCAGGGGCTGAGCAGAGGTCCCTAAGTCCCCACTAGGAGGGAGTGCGGGAGATGAGGCAGCTAGGCTGCAGGGAGCTTGAAGTTCTTGACCTCTCAGCTGTATAACTAAGAGGACCACCCTTGACGGCTCAGTTCCTTCAGCTATTCTCAAGCTGATGGGAAATGAAAAAAGGAGCAGGGCTGAGTACTCGTTACTTGTGGGGGTGCAGTGCTTCTCATCCACACCGCTCACACTCCACACACGCTCAGAAAGAAAGAGAAGGGACGGACTCAGGCTCCCCCAAAGGTGGCCCCTATGCTCTGCCCGTGCCTCGTTTCCCCTAAAGTGCAGGCACCACCAAGTCATCAAGTTTATTGGATTCATACTTCTGCGGGGGAGGATAAAGCTGTCTTGAGGGCTCAGAGCAGGATGCAAAAGAGTCGCTTGTCGCGGAAGGGATTCTCGGCGGCGGGAACAGGAGTCACCAGTGGATCATCCTTAGCGTGCGTCTCACAGAAAGCCAGAAGCTCAGCAGCCGCCTGCGACACCTGCAGGCGAGGTGTAGAGATGCAGTTGACCCGCCCTAATGACTTGGTCCCTGGGGGAACGCCCAAATCCCCGCCCCGTATTTTGACCACTCCTTATCTGACCACGCCCCCTGGTCGAGCCCCACCCTCCCACTCATTCCCAGGCTCCTCCCCCAACAGAGCCTGGAGCAAACCCCCACTCCCCCCCACACACACAAACGATTTCCCCCACGGGTCTGCGCACCTTCATGCGATCGATGTTCACTTCCAGCTTCAGCTGCTCCACGGTCTTGCGAGCTTCAGCGATTTTAGCCATGTTGTTGGACATGGCTGCGGCAGAAAAGGGGTTAAATGCCTGGCAGGAGTGGGGCCTGGGGCCTGGAACACGTCTGGATTCCCCCGGGGAGTAGTGAGAAGCAGTGGTGCGACCCAGTAACAGGAGAAGTGGTTGGGGTGACGACCCAAGAGGAGGACAGGAAGATGGAGGGGTACCAGGATGGGGATACCCACCAAGAGGCCTCTGGAGGAAGAGCAGAGGGGGCAGGGGAAGGAAGGAGGGAGACACAGATGGGAGGCTGAGAGGCAGGTGGAGGAGGCAGGGCCAGAAGGACAGGGCCACAGGTGCTTGATCAGAATCTACTGAACCAGGTGCCCTCACCCCCTGGGGATAGAGCTTGAGCCAGGAAGGGGGGTAGCTCCCCAGGCCAATTAGCCGCGACTCCAGGGAGAACTGAGAATTAAGATCTCGGCGGGAGGGGCGCAGAGGAGGCCTCATTAGGGCCTCAGCAGCAGCTGCCCCCCTCTGCCACCCTCGGGGACCCACCCCCGCCCCAGCCTTGGCTACCTCAAAGGCTCCTCTGCTCATTAGCAGGCCGGGGAGAGGGCTGGGGCAAGTCAACCCAGCCAGCTCTGCAAAGGGGCGTTGAGAAGAAAGAGGGGGACAAGAGGGAGAGCCGGGGGAGGGGGCAGAGGGACAAGACACACAAGCTTGGAGAAGGAAAACAGACTGAAGATGGAGACAGAGATATTGGGGGAGATGATGAAGGAAGACGAGAGGGAGAGGAGGGGAAAGGAGGGCATAGGGAAGAAAGAGATACAGGGGAATCGGAAACAGAGGAGACAGGGAGACAGGAGAGAAGGGACCCGGACAGAGGAGGACACGGCAGGGCTAGAAGGGAAATGGAACAAGGAAAGAGGAGAGAGGCGGTGAGGAATAAGTAGAAGGACAGAGAGGATGATGGACACACAGAACTATAAAGTCATTGATTCCTTCCTTCACCCATTCACTCATTCAATCGCGGACGGACAGATGGCAGCCACCAAGCAGCTACTGGACCCCGACAGGAGCCTCCTACCTGTTGCAGCTCAGGGTTGGGATGACTGGCGGGCGACAGAGGCTGAGAGAGGCAGCGGCTGGTCCCCTTCTCAGTCCCGCCCTCTCCCCTGGGGTGCAGCCCCTCAGGACCGCCTCCTTCTCCTAGGCACCACCTGTCTCCACGCCCTAGGTCTGTTTCTCTGGGTCCTCTTGCTATGTATCTCCTTTTCTCCCTCTCTCTCCCTGTTTTTCGGTCACTCTTGTTCCCCACGTGTCTCTCTCTGGGGTCCCTCTTTCACTCTGGCAGGAAAAGATGCACCCTTTAGGTGTGTGTGTTTATGCACATAAACCTCTCCTGGGTGTCCCATGCAACCTCTCCGGGCTTCACACGCAAAGCAGTCGCCTCAGCATCCCCCCATCTCAGTGACTCACTCAGTGGCACACAGACTCAAGTCACCCACACAGGGATGCTCACTACCTTGCTGGGCCACTGGATAGTGCTACCGTGCTGGACGCAAGGCTCAATGCCGTCGCAAGGACGGATTGCCCCACTGCAGTCAGGTACCTATCTTAGAGCGTCAAGCGTGTGTGTTCCACCCACACGTGCAGTTTTAGCTTCTCTTGAAGGTCCCATTCACTTCTCAACACTCACACGGTGACATACAATAACTCCTTCAGAATGTCTGCCAAGTGCTCCATTGCTTAGTGCAGCACAGGACCACATGGTTTTCTTTCCACGGGTGCCTGTGTGTGGCCATGTTTACTCTTGGTCAGTTTCCTGATACACATGGCACACAGTCCTCACACACACACACACACACGTTTTACACACGCGCGCGCGCGCACACACACACACACACACACACACACACGGGTCTTTGTTGGGCCTCACAGTCCGTATTACAAATGCTCACACGCTGTCTCTCTATTCCTCACTCACCTTTGAGTTCCTAACCACCACTTTTGCAAAGGCAATCGCAAACACAGGCCAACCTCTCGGTGTCACGTGATCACCAGTGTCGCAGACACACATTCACACAGTTGAGCACACCAGGTTCCCCTCGTGCCATCACTTGGGTGACGCATGTGATTTCCTTACATACACATGACAGCACGGGCAGGCTCCAGGAAGTTTCTCTCTCAGACCCAGTGCCACACATAGTGGCTCACAGTCTCACCGAAAATCTCAGTGTCACATGACACCTCACTCTGACAGTCCCGCTTAATCCCTCCTTGTCATTCCTAATCTCACTGTGTCAGACAGTCCCACACCAAATCTGAGACGTGCCCTCACATTGGCGTGGACAGCACTACCTCTGGATGTCGCGTGGGACACCACAGCCATCACTTGCTTAGTCGCTCACCCTCGCCGCCCTCAAGGCCCCACTGCTGGCCACACGGTGGCGCCCTCGAGCCAAAGTCACTGGAGGAGCACGAGCAGAAGCAGCTAAGACAAGGCATCTCCGGCCAGCTTTGCAGAAGATAGAAACCGGAGATCTGGGGGACCCGAGAAGCATGTGAGAGAGGGGAGGTGGGTTCCTACGAAGGTGAAAGAAGTGCGGGATTAGAGGGAGAGGAAGAGAACTTTAGAGAGAGGTGAGAGGGGCAGAGAAACTAAGTACGGAGAGAGACAGAAGGACAGACGAGAGGTACAGGGAGAGGTGGCAGGAGACAGATACACAGACTGGGACTTGGAGACAGACACTCAGAGAACGAGCCAGGCCGGCCAAAGGACAAGAAATTCATAGTGCGCCTTCCGGGCCGGACCACACGGCGGGGCGGGGCTGTAGGGGGTTGTGGGTGTGGTCAAGGGCGGGGCTTAGTGGGGTGTGTTGGACGAGGCGTGGCCTGTAGGGGAGTGAGGGAGGGGCTTGACACTCCTTTCCGTTTTGGCTCTCAGGGATCCTGGAACCCTGAGAAGAGGTGGAGTCCGGAGAGGTCTCTCTGTACCGGGAAGCCAGACTGGTCGGGGAAAGATGTCAGTCTCTGATAGCTCCCGCCCGCCCAGTACTGGGGACTGACTCCAAAGTCTCACTCGTGCTAAGCAAGAGCTCTGTCACTGAGCTACATCTACAGCCCTCTGTTGACTTTTTCATTTTGAGACTGTTTCCTTTAGTTGCGCTAGAATGGCCTTGAACTTACTCTGTGGCCCAGGCGACCCTCCTGCCACGGCCATCCCTAGGGAGCTGGGATGACAGGCCTGAGCCGCGTTGATGGCTTTTTGGAACTGGGAGTATGGGACCCTGGCTCCCTGCCCCCTCCCTCGTGGGCTCACAGGGCCAGGTTGGAAGGAGAACACGGCCCACATCTGGAAAGCATCAGGCGAGCCGGACGTGCCAGGGCCCCGAGCCGGGGCTGCGGGAGGGGGAGGGGAGCCAAGGAGCTCCCCCTCCACACACACACACCAGCCAAGCGGTGTCTGCCGGCGCCGAGGAGGGGCCTGGGCTTGCCCCGAGCCCGGCGCCTCCTACAGCTGGTTTTCATCCCCAGATCTGGCCTAGGGTGCCCAGAGGAGGAAACCTAGCTAACTTAATGCTGGAAAGACAGGGTGACGACCCTGTCTCCCAACCAAAGGCTAGAAGAAGGAGAAGGGAGGACAGACGGACACGGAATGGATAACCTCCAGCTCCTTCCTAATGTACAGACCTCAGCAGCCTCTCCATTATTTAAATATATATATTTAAATTATATGAACTTACATTTATATATGTTTATATTTTACTTATTTATTGTGTGTATGCGGAGGTGTGTGACTACACCACAGCCTCGGTGGTGTAGGAGTCAGGGTCACCTTGTGAACTTTAGTTCTCTTCCCATCATGTGGGTCCCAGGGTGGAACCCAAGTCCTCAGGCTGGTGGCAATGGCCTTCAACCGGCTGAGCCATCTCCAAGTCCTTAAGTATTATAAGCATCTTAAACACATCCAGAACCCACAAACTCTCTCCAGCTTCACTCTTTTTTTTTGGCTCCCACATCTGGCCTTTTTCCTCTGACCCTGTCGGCCTGTTTCTTGTAAAGAAGTCACAAGGCCTTTGTCTCAAAACAAGTAATCCCGGCACTGAGGGGCACTGAGGAGGATGAGCCTAGAAGTCTGGAAATCCCAGGATAGCCTGGACTTCCCATCTTAGCTGGTGCTAGAGTGGGACTAGCCTAGAAAGGGTGGCGGGAGAGGGGACTGGGGTGTGTCTCCGCGGGTAGAGTGTTTCCTAGCATGTAGGAAACCCTGGGTACCACATACCTGCAATGCCAGCATTCAGCATGGAGCCAGCCTTAGTTAGTGTTCTGCCTGCATGTATGCCTTCAGGCCAGAAGAGGGCAGCAGATCTCATTACAGATGATTGTGAGCCACCATGTGGTTGCTGGGAATTGAACTCAGGACCTCTGGAAGAGCAGCCAGTGCTCTTAACTGCTGAGCCATCTCTCCAGCCCCACATTTCATTTTCTTAAAGATTTATTTTATGTGTAAAAGCGTTTTGTTGTATATATGTATGTGCACCATGCAGGTACCCATGAACAGTAAATTGTTAGCCACCATGTGGGTGCTGGGAATCGAACCCGGGTTCTCTGCAAGAAGTGCTCTTAACCACTGAGCCAAATTTCCAGCTCCCATCGCAAGCTTAAGAGGATCAGAACAAGAAGTGTCGTCAAGAGGCTGGTGAGGTGGCCACCCTGGAACTCACTATGTACACTTGGCTAGCAATAAACTCAGGAGATCCTCCTGTATTTACCTCCTGATCACTGGAATGGGCACCCACCGTCACTCCTGGTCTGAACTGTATACTTTATATGGGTGGATTTTATAGTGTACAAATTACATTTCAATGAGGCTTTTAATTCCTCTCACGAAACAAAACTGAAAACTGACTGTCAACATTTTGAAAAACAAGTTTCTCTTCTGCCTAGGATTCTCCAGTGTCTTCCATACTTAAAACTCTGTGTATGACCAGGCAGGGGTGGCACACACCTTTAATCCTAGCATTTGGGAGTTCAAGGCCAACCTGGTCTACAGAATGAGTTCAAGGACAGCCAGGACTGTTACACAGAGAAACCCTGTCTTGAAAAACTAAAAAAAGGAAAAGAAAAGAAAAAGGAGCCCTGCCTATGGCTTCAGGTTCCCACTCAGTGCTCAACAAGGCTGGTGTCTCTTTTACTCTTCATTCCTTTTGATTCTGACGTCCTGGCCTTGGTGCCATCTACTTAATCTGCTTGGTACAGCATTGCCTCAGGGCCTTTGCACAGCCTCTTCCTGTGGA